TCTTCCCCTTTCTTTGCTTGGGCAGGTAGCACACAGAAGGTTTATGGCAATAGAGCAGGAGAAAAGCCATGTGTTAGCTGCCTGGTTCTGTGCCTTAGGATTTAACCACTAGCTTTCTCCTCATCTTTATTTCATATGCTGCCAAGTGAAAATCATTAGAGGCACAAATGAACACCAGAAGTACAAAGGGAACATGAAGAGACAGTGAATCCCGCACTGACGGACAAGCAACAGACAAACAAGCTGTGCTTCCAAAGGAAAGCGCATCCCATCACTTCCTGATTTGCAGCCAAGATAATCCAGCATCCGAGGTGCCTGCATGCATAGGTGGGTGAGAGATGAACAGATTTTAACAATACAGAAGTATTATGTCGGTGTGGTTCAGCTCCTTCCAGCCAGTGGCCTGATGCCAGCTTTGGGCCAGGCAGGTGCATCTGGTGAGGAACTGCTATGGAGCAGCATTTTCAGCTGTGGGGCTGCCCACTGGGAAGCATTTGACTTTCAGACTGCTTGTGTTGGCCTAAGAGCCATTCCCTGCCATGGCTGCTCCCACTTCCAGGCAATCTTTGTAAAGATACTGTAGCTTATAAAGAATCCAGAAACTGGTATACAAAATATATTTACTTTCTCTTTGTGTACAGCAAAAAAATCCATAGTATTTGATTATCACAGAGTCATGCAGCAAGTACAACAGTGCATGTGTGTAGGGGGAAGGTTTATATGCTAGTTCTTTAGCTATGCAATTATACCACTTCACTGACAGACCCCTTAGGATTTCACAAGTCCCCACAGCTTCCCAGCACCAGCCAATTATTAGAGACTGGTCTCTAAAGACATGTTGTCTCCACTTGAGTTATTTCAAACCTTTTCCTTTGTTCTGCAGGTATACCAAATAACCCTGGCAACCATTTCCAAACATAATGAGGACTAGGTCCTGATGGGCAACAGGTTGAACATGAGCCCGCAACGCACACTTGTGGCAAAGGCAGCCAATATCATCCTGGGCTGCATTAGGCAGAGCCTTGCCAGCAGGTCTGGGGAGGTGATGATTCCCCTCTACCCAGCACAACTGAGTCAAACCCGGAGTGCTGTGACCTGTCCTGGACTCCCCGGTACGAGAGAGACATGGACATACTTGAGTGAATCCAGCGAAAGACCATGAAGATGATTAAGGGATTGCAGTAGCTGACATGAGGAGAGAGTGGGAGAGCTGGGATTGTTCAGCCTGGAGAAGAAAAGGCTCGGGGGATCTTATCAATGTATATAAATTCCTGATGGGAGCGAGTAAAGAAGATGGAGCCAGACGCTTGTCAGTGGAGCCCAGTGACAGGACGAGAGGCAATGGGCACAAACTGACATATGGGAAATACCATTTAAAAATAGTAAAAAAACTTTTTTTACTGTGAATGCGGTTAAAGAGTGGGACAGCATCCCCAAGGCGATTGTGGAGTCTCCATCCTTGGAGATATTTGGAATCCAACTGGACGCAGCCCTGAGCAACGTGCTCCAATTGACCCTGCTTTGAGCAGGGCGGTTAGACTAGGTGGTCTCGGCTGCAGGACTCGGCTCCCATATAGCTTCAAGTCAGTGAATCTACCAATCAGGTCCACACAGAATACTGTTTTACATGTAGATAACTCAATTGCAGGCACTCATCCATAAGAATAATGAAACTGAAATAGCTTGCCAGTAGCGCCCTCCTCCTCTGTACTAGAAAGAATACAGTATTTTAAAATAATCTGCGTTCTGATTAACTACATAGATGTTGGGAGTCAGTAGGTGGCACAAAAGAGCCAGGTTTGGCGGAGAACCAGACCATCCTGCTCGGGTACTGCCGGCTGGCGCAGCCGTGCCCTCCCCGCGGGCCGCAGCACGATTCCCCCGCACCTCCGAACGCAGGGGCTGACCGCACATTTGCCAGACGAGTTCAGCCCCCGCGGAGTCCCAGCCAGACGCT